AAATTATAATAATAATAACAATAATATAAATAGTAATAATATAAATAATAATAATATTTTAAATAAGAGTTATGATGATATTATGTTTAAATTAACTTTAAATAATTCAAATTAAGATTATATAAATAATAATAATAATGCACGTATATAAAAAAAGTAAATATTAAATAAAAAAATATTATATTTTGATTTATTTTATATTATATTTTAGAAAATAAAATTTTTAACCAAATGAAGAAATATAAAAAAAATAAAATTAATAATATTATAAAAATGTTAATTAAAATGAAAACAAACAAAATTAATATCAAGATAATGAAATAAATGAATATAATACAAATTATTAGGAATTTTAATAATAATAATAAAAAACTAACAAAAATTATTATGAAGATATTTATTTAAATTACGATTAAAATAAAAGTGTTAATAAAAACATAAATAATAATCATAATACTACTACTAATAATAATAAAAATAATAATAACATCTGTAATAGTAATAATAATAATAATATTAATAATAATAATAATATTACTAAATTTAATAAATAATACTAAAATTAAACACCTAATAAATATTTATATAGTTTCTAATAATAATCACCTGTTAAACCAGAATTAATAGGTTAATAATAAAAGCAAATGGAATAAATTTTAGAAAAATTAAAATTAGATAAATAACTTGTAAATTTTTTTTAATTTTAAAATAAAAAATGTTTTGTATTTTAAATTTTTTTAGATAGAAGCCTAAATGCTTAAATTTCCTACTCATTAAAGAAATGTATAATAAAGATTATTAAAACATAATTTAGAAAAATAATTAGACTAAATAGATAAAGATATATTAATATAAAGAAAAAGATTAAAATAATATTAAATCTGATAATTATATTTTTTTTATATAAAAATCTTATTTTTTGTAGCTATTTTTTTATTTTCATTTTTTCTATCTATTAATTAATTATAATTTTTAAAATTAAAATTAAAATAAAATAATATCTAAAAAATTATATAATTAATATAATTTTTTATATTTTCTTTATTAACTTTAATCCATAATTTTAAATAATTTTCCTTTAAAATAAAATAACATTAATTTAAATCTTATTTAAAAAAATTTGATATGAAATATTTTCTTATATAATGAGTTTTTAGAGATAAATATGTTCATTATTGTATCTATGACGAAATATTAAAATTGTTGACAATAAAGACTTAAAGCCTGAAAAATATTATCCTTAATATATAAAGTATTTGATAACAAAGCTGTCTTGAAGTAAATTATAATCCATGTCGATTATTTTAATTTATAATTTTTCCGTGAAAGAATTTTTCTAAAATCACTTTTAATACATTTTTCTGTTAGATTAATGTTCAAATATTAAAAATATATTTTAACATAAGATATAAATGAAGAAAACATAGATAAAATATATTTATTATACTTATATTGAAAATAAAAAAAATATTTTTTTAATATTTTATTTAATTATAAAATATAAATAAATTTTTAATATTTTATTTAATCAAAAAATAAAAATAAATATGAATAAAATAATTATATTTAAAAATAAACTTTAAATTTTATTTATTAATAAAAAAAAATATTAAAAATAAAAAATAATTAATTTCTTTATTTGTAATTCATTAAAAAAGAAAATAAATATAAGAAAATAACTGTTTAATTATAAATTTTATTGTATGTCTTTAAATATATTTTAACTGTTAAATTATTATTATATAAAAAAAGTAAACCGAAAAAATAAAAACTAAAATTCAGCATGCAATTTAAAAGAATTTTACAATAAAAAAAACATGATAAAGAATAAAATACACCCAAAGCAAATTAAAAAATTTTCAAAAGCTTTAGCATTAATGATTCATCATCTCCTATAAAACATTAAATTATTTTAAAAGAAACATAATAACTTATAATAATAGGAAAATATAAAAAAGCCTACAAATATATTAAGCATTACTTAAAATATACTAATTTAAATGATATTTAAATCCAATTAGAATATAAAAAATAAATTGTTCATATTTACCTGAAGTTAATTAAGCATTACTTAAATAAAAATGATATTTTTAAAATAGTAAAAAAAGTTCCCAAAATATTAAAATTATCTTATTAAAATATTTAAATATGGTATAATATACTTGAAAATTATAATGCAAATTCTCCTAAGGAATCAAAAGAATAAAATTTAAAAGAACCTGAAAATTTTTCAGAAAAATTATCAGATGATATAACAACATAAATAAAGAATCATAAATATTAAAGAGAATAATTTATGATTTATTTCTTAAAATTATAATATATATCATTTTTATATTATAAATCTATAAATTAAGTAAATACGGCGATTTTATATTTACTTAAAGCTTAAAATTTAATAAACGATTTTTTAGAAATTCAACCATATTTAATGTGTACGGATTTATATAGAATAAGTGCGTAAAATATTTAATGATATATATATATATATATATATATATATATATATATATATATATTTATATTTATATATTTTAATATATATAAAAAAAAAGATCTATTTAATTAACTATAGCTAATATATATCTTGAATCAAATTTAATATAAAAAAGTTAAGAATTATACATGTAAGCATATACAAATAGTTCTAAAAGTGTAATTTTATGGTTTTAAATTTTTCAATAATACACACTATAAGACATTCCTGTCAGAAATGAAATATAATGTGAATATTAAATTATCGAATTGATTTTTATATTAATAAATACCTGCTATTCATTTGAAATATCCAGAAATATTCCAAAATGTTTAGAAAGTATAAATTTGGTTTATTGGATTTCTGAAAATTTACTTTTATATGAAAGTTCATAAAGTATATAAGTTTTTGCAAGAAATCTTTATAAAATATTTAATTAAAATTATTCTCTATATAAAGATGAAATGAGGGAAATTTATATTATTGGAAAATAGATAATTGGGAAGATTTCCAAAGAGAAAAATAATAATTAAGAAGAAATTTAAAAAGATAAATTAAATAACTATTTATATGAAAAAGCAGAATGTTAAATGTTAAATTAAAGCCAGTTTATTTTTAAAAAATCACAAAATCAATTAGAAAATAGCTCTTTTTTGGCTGAATAAACTACTTGGCTTTCCCAAAATATATCAAAAAGTTCTTTTTTTAAAAGTTTTTAGTATAAAAAAAAATTAGAGTCGAAAAGGCTTAATAAAAGTATTATTAATAATAATAATACATCGATTTTAAAATAGAAAAAAAATAGAAGTTTTGGGCTATTTCAAAAAAAAGATATTATTTTAAAAAGTCCAAAAATAATTAATTCTTCTGAAAAAAAAAATTATTTTGATTAAATTTAATAATTAAAATATAAATATAGATTTTTAAGATAAGATGATGTTTTGTAAAATACTAAAAAATAAATTAATTTGGACTTTTTTATGTAAAATATTATTAATTAGTCTCAATAAAATAAATAAAAACATCAAAATTTCCCTGTTATGTATATTAAATGTGATGAGACTTTAAAAGAAAGTTAATAAGATAAAAAAGAATAGAATTATATGTAATAGTTAATTGCTTTTAAAAGAAATAAAAATAATAAAATATAGAAATAAATTTAAAACTTTTCATAAATTAAATTTATGAATAAAATTAGAGCTAAAAGCGATTTTTATTTATCTTATAATAATTATAATAAGAAATAAAAATTTTATAAAACTAATGGAAATTCTATTAAATAAAATTTGTAAATTTATAATTAAGACTCTTAACTATTTAATATAAATTCTCAAGCGTAAGCCTATAATTTAAATAATTAAAGCTTTAATTAAAATAAAAAAGTTTATTAATAAAATTCTTATGCTATTTAAAAGAATGGAGATTTTATATAAAAGTAGAAAAAAATTTAAATAATTAAGATGATTTAAACGAAAATAAGTAAGAAAAAAATTAAGATGAATAGAATAATATAAAAAATATAATCTTATAAAATGAAACTGAAAAAAAATAAATAAATAAATAAATTTCAATTATAAAGAATATTGTGAGAAATGACTAAAAAAAATACTTAAATAAAAAAATAATTATTCTTTATATTATGAGAAGTTTTAAAATTAAATCTTGGCATATAATGAACTTCATAAATCTATTACTTGTAAAAAAAAAGTATAAGATAAAGCGAATGAATTTAAAAACATGTATCATAGAAGCAGCAAATTAAATAGTTTTCTATTTGCTTACAATAAAAATATAAAAGATGCTAATTGGGCTAAATCGAAAAGGTATTCCCTGTAAATAATTTAAAAATAAGAATGATATTTAATGAAGTTTATATTTAATATTAAATTATTGAATTTTTTTGTTATATATAAATATGTATATATATTATTTTATATATATTTATATATATATATATTTATTTATAAATTAATATTTATATATACTTTCTTATATAAATTCATATATAATTTATATTTTAAATATTTATTGTTATTTTTATAATTTAATTTAATATTATTAAATTTACTATAATTTTTTATTAGTAATTACTAAAATTATTATTATTATTATTATTATTATTTTAATTATTTTTTTTATTATTATTATTATTATTATTATTATTATTATTATTATTATTATTATCATTTTATTTTTACATTTATAACATTTATTATTGTCGAGTTTTTTGTTTTTTTGAAAATTATATTTATTAATAATTTATTATATTAAATAATTTTTTAAACATTGAATTACAATTTATTATATTTTGTTATTTCTTGTAATATAAAATTTATATTCCTATATTTATTTTATAAATAAATAATTATAAATTAAAATCAAAAAAATTTTAATTCATTTATGGGTAATTCTAATTGTAATTGTGTTTAAAGTAATTATATGGGCTAGTAAGAAATATCCGAAATAATATTAGTCAATAAATAAAATACGTTTTAATAAAAGTCAATTATTAAATCCTAATTATTTTAAAATGAAAAATAATTATAAATATAAGTGTTACCATCATAATCAACTACTAACATTCAATCAAACAATATCGAAATATAATCTATTAGTTAAAAAGATATAGATTTTATCACTAAAAACAATTAAGAATAGTAAATAAATTCAGCATCAAATATAAATGAAAAATTATAATAATATATATCTTTAAAAAAAATTTTACAGATGACAATTATCCTATAGATTAGAATTTTTAAATTATTTAATAATAATCATTAAATAATCCATTGCAAGTAATAAAACTGCCCAGAATATATATGAAAAGTGGGTCTTTTTACGAAGGTGAATGGAAAAACGGTTTCAGGCATGGAAAAGGTAAACATACATGGCCTGACGGAACATTTTATGAAGGAAATTGGGAATAAGATGAGGCATAAGGATTTGGAAAGATTATGCATTTTAAAGGCGATTTTTATGAAGGAGAATGGAAAGAAGATAAGGCAAATGGGAAAGGAACTTATTTGTCAAATAATTAAGGAATTAAATATATAGGGGAATGGGTAGATGATTTATAGGATGGAAAAGGAATTATTTATTTTTAAAATGGAACATAATTTCAAGGCGTTTTTTAATAAGGATTTATTAGTGAAAAAGGAACTATTTTGTTCTATGATGGTAGTTCTTATTTAGGAGAATTTAAAGATAATCAGATTTCAGGGTATGGAGAATATAAATGGAAAGATGGGAAAATTTATAAGGGTTATTGGGAAAATAATAAAATAAATGGGAAGTAAAATTTATTTTTGTTTTTTGCTATTTTAATTATTAATGTATGTTTAGTGGAGAAATGATATGGCCGGATGGCAAAAAATATATAGGAGAATATTATAATAATATAAAAAATGGATACGGTATATTTGATTGGGGAAACGGAAAAAGATATGAAGGAAAATGGCTTAATGGAAAGTAGCATGGAAAGGGTTTAGTTTAATTATAATTTAAAATAAATTTTGGATATTAAAATATAAGAACTTTTATTTAATTTTTTTTTTTAAAAGGATTAATTTTTTAAAAAGAAGTAAAAAAAGAAGGAATTTGGGAACATGGAATACGAATTATGTGGACTGATGAAGATAATTAAAAAAATTGGTTAATATTATTTATATATCTATAATTTTTATTTATATAAAAATTATATTAATTATATTTAATATTAAATATAAATAAAATTTAGAGATAAAAATTTAAATGTAAATAGTATATTGATTAAATTAATTTTGATGATAAAATAATATTTCAATTCTAGATAATATTTTTATTAAATATTATGGTTTTTAGGATAATAAATTATTTTTTAAGTTATATTTATATGTATAAAGAATATATATGACTATTTTTAAATTTATTAAAAAAAATTAATTCACAATAAATATATGATAATATATAATTATTTATATATTTATATATATATATATTTAATTTTTATTTTATTTATTTTAATTTTTTATCATTAATTTTTAATTTTTTTTATTCTAATACAACTTTAATTATATAATATTTATCTTATTTATCTTTTTTATTATATATCATTTTTAATGTTTAAAAAATCATTTTAGAATAATTTTTTTGTTAATTAATTATTATAATTTCATATAAATATATGAATATCTACATTTTAAATAAATAAATAAAAAATTGTTTTAATTTTTAGTTTATAAAATATATATATTATTTACATATAATTTAATTTTTTTTTTAGTTTATTTTTTTAATTGTTAAATTAAAATAAAAAATCTTAAATAAAAAAATATTAAATATAATTAAAAATATAATATATTTATTATGTAATTTCTTTAAAATTCATTTAATTCTATTGTTAAATAAATGAATTAGTTTGTTCCTTAATTTTAGTAAATAAAAAGTTATAATTTATAAATATTATTGTAAATAAAAGGAGTGAATAAGAAGAATAATTTTCATATCCAAATTTTGAAAAATACATATTGAATTCAACTCATAATTTCTAAGAATTATAAATAATTGTTCGTGATTAAAATTTAGATACACTAAATATAAGATTTAATGTTTGGAGGATGTTATTAGGTCTTTTAAAAGTTCATTCAGATGATGAAGTGAAAAAATAAGAAATAAAATAATAAAGATAAATATATTAATAATTAAAAGAAAAATATTTAACAAGATAATAATCTTAATAAGACAGTAAAGTTATTTTTAATCCTTTAGCTAAGAATCAAAGCGGAGTATTTTTTTCATTATATAAAAAATGAAAAAAATGTAAATTTTAAAATAAAAAAGAATCCTTGGAATAACTCTTTTGAAGACAATGAATTAAGAAATGAAATAAAAAAAGATATTGAAAGTACATTTTAAGATAAAGAAATATTTACATTATAAAAAACAAAAAATATTTTAACAAATATATTGTTTGTTTTTAGTAAAAAATATCCAGAAACTTCTTACAAATAAGGTATGAATGAAATAGCAGGAATTTTTTTTATGATTTATTATCAAGAATCAAATTTTATAGAAAGTAATAAATACTAAAATCTTTAAATTTCAGAAAGATTAAAAGAAAATTCAGAATTTTTTTTAGATATTAATCAAATAGAGCCTGATATTTATATTATTTTTAGTAAAATGATGGAATTAGGACATATGGAAATGTTCAGAAATACAATTTCTTAATAACAATTAGAAAATAAAAAGAAACAACCTATATTGTAAAGAATAGGGAAAATTTAAGATGTTTATTTAAAAATTATAGATTTACCTTTATTTAAACATATAAAATTATTAGATTTAGAGTTTTAAGTTTTTTAATTAAAATGGATTAAAGGAATTTTTTTAAGAGAATTTCAAATTAGACAATGTTTTATTATATGGGATAATATTTTTTTGGATAATTTTATTAGTAATTATAGTGAATTTTAATTATTTTTAATTGATTGTATTTGTTTAGCAATATTGCATATATAAAGAGACGAATGTTTAATTTTATTATTTGTTTTTTTTTTTTTTAATTTTTTTTTTTTATAGTACTTTTGTTTGATAATTAAATTTAAATTGCACAAAAATTAGTTCAGTTTAAATTTGATAAAAATGATTTGAAAGATTTATTAGAAATCGCATATAAAATAAAAGGTAGACTTATATTTAATTATCTATTTTTTTATTCTTTTTTTATTTCTTTTAATTTATAGATATTTTATTAGACTAAAATGAAAATGGAAAATAATAAAATTAATTTTAAAATCTAATTTAATTTTCGAATAAACTTTTTTGTATTTTTTACTTTTTATTTAATTTTTATTTAATAAAAAAGTAAAAAATTCACAATCAAACTTTAATTAAGATTAACCCAAATAATTAAATGATAATATTAATAATGAATAAAACCAAATTATTTTATAAACACTTGATTATAATACAGAAGAAATTAAATAATATATATTAGTAAGTTAAAAAAATACATAAGTATTAAGAAAAATATTTGAAGATGATAGAGATTTTATATAAAATGGTGAAAAGCTGATTGGAACATATGATAGTGAATAATAATTACCCCAAATACAAGAATTTAAACAAACACAAATAATTTTGACTAATTATTAAGTATTTAAATAAAAAGAAATAATATTCATATTAAAAAATAGTTATTTTTAAAACCTAATGATATAAACTATTACTAAAAATTTGTTTGTCGAAGAGATTATTAATCAATTCCTTTAGGATTTATAAATAAAATAGAAAAATTAATGGATAAAAAATCTAATTATTATTATTTCCTTGATATATAATGTAAAGATGTAAGATAATATAGATTCCGCTTTTCATTAAAAAATTATGATTAATTATAACAATTGTTTACTAATATAAATAATCTTGCTTTTCCCGAAGACATAAAAAAAACTTTTGCCTATATACATTTTTTAGATATATTAAAGTCATAAAAAATTACTTAGAATTAACCAAATTAATATTATGATATTGTAAAAGAATTCGAAAGATAAAATATAAAAGAATTAGTATAAAAAAAATAATTAATAATATATTTTTATTTTTATTAAAAATAGCCTTATTTTAGATTTATTGATAATTCAAAAGGTCAAATATGTAAAACTTATCCATAAATACTTATCGTTCCTTAAAAAATAAATGACGAGACAGTAATAAAATGTTCCAATTTTCGTTCTAGAGAAAGACTTCCAGTCTTAACTTATATATTTAAAAAAAGGAAAAACTCCTAAAGTATAGCTTCTTTATGGAGATGTGCTTAATGTAAACCAGGAATAATAAACTAAAACAGATCAGAAGAAGATGAATATTTTTTATAATAAATAGGAAATATTTCCTCAGAATATAAAAATTAATAAATTAAAAACAAAGTCTAAATTTACGATGCGAGACCCTATTTAAATGCTGTGGGTAATAAATTAGTAGGAAAAGGATATGAGAATCCATAATTTTATAAAAATTGTTAAATATAATTTTTAGAAATCCATAATATTCATAAAGTTAGGGAATCTTTTAAAAAAGTAATAAATGCTATTTATGGAAATATGCATGATTTTTGGAAAGAAATTGATAAAAGTGAATGGCTTTTACATATTAGTTCTATTATTGAAGGATCAAAGAGAAATATCAGAATCTCTTTATAATGATGATCATGTAGTTGTGCATTGTTCAGATGGATGGGATAGAACTATTTAACTTTTATGTATTTCTTAATTATTATTAGAACCTTACTATAGAACAATTGAAGGATTTATTTCCCTTATTGAAAAAGAATGGATTGGGTTCGGACATTAATTTGTTCTTAGGTATGGGCATGGTTCAAAAAATCATTAAGATGAAAACAGGTCGCCTATATTTATTTAATTTCTTGATTGTGTACATTAGCTTTTGAAATAATATCCTCTTTCATTTTAATTTAATCAAAGGTTATTGACTGATTTAGCATATCATTTATTTAGTTGTTTATATGGAAATTTTCTTAATAATTGTTATTAGGTATTTTGTTTAATTATTTATTTTAATATATATATATATATATATATATATATATATATATAATATATATATATATATATATATATATATATATATTTATCTATTTATAAAATAGGAATAATTATATAATTCTACTAATGAAAAAACTTTAAGCTTTTGGGGAATCGTAATCGAATAAAGAGAAATTTATGAAAATCCGTTTTATTAAGATGATAAAAATAATTGTTTGCTTTATTTATAACCGAATAGTTCTTTAAAAGCTTTGAGATTTTGGAAAGAATATTTTTTATAATATTAATTAGGACTTGAAGATTAGTATAAGTTATTTGAAGATTGTAAATTTAGTGAGTAATTATATTTTATTATTATTATTTATTGATTATATTTATATAAGTGATAACTTTATGCATATTTAAGCTAAAATCAAAATGAAATAAATGTAATATTAAGAAGAAAATATTAATTTGAATAAAAGAATTTAATTTTTAGAAAGTTAATTGAAAGAATATGAAAGTTAGAAAAATTAAGAAAATGTATAAACTATAGATTAATAATAAATAAATTCAAATTAAAATATTTAGTAAGAATAAATAGCTAATATTTAATAATAATGAAAAAAAATAAAAATATCTTTATTTATTATTGAGAATCAAATTATTTTATTATGTTTTAGTTTATAATAGATTCTAATATTTATATATATACAAATAAAATTAATTTGAAATGTTAAGAATTATATTAAAAAATATAAAATATAATGTTAATATTTATTTATATTTCTTTATATTTTAATGAAAAAAAAAATATTTTTTTAATTTTTATATTAATTTATTTAAATTCTAATTAAAATAAAATATTATTTATGATTTGAAATTATTTCTTTTATTTTAATTATTGGTATTTTATTAGAATATATATTATTCGAATAAATTTACCTTTTCATATAGACTTTTTTAAAATAATTAAGTTTTAATATAAAATAATAATAATAATATAAATTAATAAATATCATAATAATAATAATAGTTTTTATTCTTTATTTTTTTAAAGAAAAAAAAAAATCAAAAATTATATATAATAAAAATTTATTATATTAATAATTAAATATTAAAATACTATTATAAATTAAAAAATTAAATATTTTAATTATAATAAAGATATTTTTTAAAAATATTTACTATTATATAAAATAAATATTTTGATAAAAAATAAATAAAAATATTAATAAACTATGATATAAAATATTATAATTAATTTTTTTTTATTTATAAATAAAATTAAAAAACATAACTATAAATAATTATTATTTTTCTTATTTTATTAAATTAATTTTTATTTTTTTATTATTTCTTTTAGTTTAAATACCGAAAAAAATAAAATAAAATAATTTAATATTAACAATAATAATATGTAATCATTTATTTTTTATTTAATAAAATTATAAAACTAATTTTTTTAAATAAATATACACTAAGTTTCTAGTAATATTTTTTTATGTTTTCCTTTTTTATGATATATAATTTATTATTAGAAATATTTTGTATTTTAAAAAAAAAAATATTTATTTTAATTAATAATTTTTTTATATTATATGATTAAGATATTTATTATTATTATTTTTTTATTTAAAACAAAATATTTATATTCAAAATTAAAAGCTTATAATGTAATTTTTTTTTGTTTTTACTAATTTATTTTATTATATATATATAAATTTAAAATTATATAATTAACATAAAAAAATATTTAATTCAATTCAAAAAATGGATAATTGTTAAAAAGTCTAAGCCATAATATAATTTTTAAAAGACTTAATAAACATTAGTCCCAATTTAATATATTATTATTATTAAAGAATATATTTTACAAAAGGAATACAGTATTCAACTTTTTTCAAAGGAATTTTTTTACTTACAATTTAACAATTAGATTAATTATAAATATAAACATAGAATATTTTTTTGGATTTTTTAAATAAAATAACAATAATTAGAGTTGGAGAAACTGTAAAGACACCTCTATATATTAAATTAAATTATTTTTTAGAATAATTTTATTTATTAAGTATTAAAAGAGCATTTAGATTTTTATTATTATTGATTTTAACTTATCTATTTTATAATTAATACATTTCGTTTAATTAGTATTATTTTTATATCTTTTTAGCTAATAAATGCCCTTATTTTATTAATTGAGAATATTTGTTTTAATTATTTTTTTAAGAATCTGAGTTTATTTAAGAATTTGACTCGACTATTTAAGAATTTATTGGATTTATTTCAGAATTAAAAAATGCTAAATAAGAAATATTTTGTTTAATGCAAATTGTTTTGGTAAAGAAATTTAGTTTTAAAAGAAAATTACAATTAGAAAGGTTTTATTAATATTATTTAAATTTTTTATTATGATTTATTATTATTTCAAATAGAACTTAGTGTTCTTATGTTAAATAAAATATACTTTTTACTAATTATTCTTTTAATTTTCCATTATAATTATCAATTTATATTTTCTCGAAATTGGTTATTTTCATCATTTATATAATTTTTTAAAAAACCTAAAAAAAATAATTTAGAAAAAATACAATTTTTTTTTTTTTAACATAAATTTAAAGAAAATTTTAAGAATCAAAATTCTAAATTTTTTAATCAAAAATTTTTAAGAATTTTTCTTTATTTACATATATATAATTGATATTTTATAAATATTCCCTATCTCTAGTTCTCATATCTTTATTAAAAAACATAAGTCCTTAAAAAAATGTTAAATAATTATTAAAAGAAAATAAATCTTCTGAATAATTATCCAGTATATATTCTTTTATCAAACAATTCATAAATTCAGCTGAAAATAATCTTAAATCTGATACATATAATGGAAAACTATACTTCCTTTAAGTATTAGACACATAAATGTCCAAAAAATAATAGTTTAAGGAAAAATAATAGCCAACAGTAACCACACAATAGAAGTTTTGGAAAATTTTAGTCCCTTAATATATTATTTTTTACCTAATTTAGGTTACATTAAGAAAAGAAAGCCCATATTAATTATTCAATTTGCTGTTTTAAAACATTTTTTAATCAAAGGAAGACAAAGAGTTAACTAAGACATATTTTCTATTTGAAAAATCTTATGGAAAAACATGATAAAGGGGTAAATAGAAACCTTAATAAAGGAAAGTTTTATAAAAAATGAGTTTTTGGGATATTTTTTAGGCTAAAATAAATAAAAGTGTATCATCAAAAATATTCTAGTGTGAAAAAAAGGTAATTTAAAAATATTTTTATATATCAAAAAGTGTAAAAATCAGTTTAAATTATTTAGTTCTTATATGGGAAAAAGGCATTATTTTTATCAATAAAAAAACGAAATTTTTATCAAAAAAAATACCTTTTTTACTCCTAAAAGTCTCTATTTTTATAATTGTTTTTTTTAAAGATTTCATTTTGAAAACAAAGGAACATTCTTTTTTCTCAAAATATTAATATAAGATTTATTGACGACTTTTTTCCTATAAATAGTCTTTGTTGCATATTAATATGCATTTTAAATGCTTAAAAGAGACTTTTTTTTTAGATTAATTAGTTAAATAAGTTAATAGTGATTTGTTTTTGAATTCAAAATGTACTTGAAGAGCTATTTTAGGGGAATAAAAGTGAGATAAGGTATTTATTTTGCCATTTGTTTGTGTTTTTGGGACTATTAAATCGTTTATAAGGAATAATTTTAAATAATTATTTTCTAAATTATTGATTAAATATAGTTTTTCGAGAATACTTTCCTATACAACATTTACTTTGAGGAAAAAGGAATTTTTATAGTAATAAAAGATGATTTTTTTTGTTGATTTTGTTCTTATTTTTAAAAATTTTATCGAAGTTCAATTTAAGTATTATTATTTGAAAAAAGAATGAGATTTGAGTTAATTTCTTATTTATTAATTAATACATTATATTTTTTTAAATGAATTAAACCATATTCGGTTATTTTTTTAATGTTTATATGAGAATTTGTGATTTTTTAATAATGTTCGCGTTCTTCACCTGGAAGTAAGTCTATTTTTTTAGGTAAAAAATAATTTTAGAGGTGTTTTTTATGAGTTTTTTTATCTTTTTGGATGTTATAATTATGCTAAATTTCCCTTTTTTTAAAACGAGATTCTTTCTTGGACGTTTTTTGAGTATTTAAAGATATTTATTTAGTAAAGAAATTTTAATTATTTATTTATAAAGTGTTTTTTTAATTTATTATTTAATTTAGAATTTAAAAATAAGCAAATTCTGAGTTCTCATAATTAATAAAAAATGAGTTTTTTTTATAATTATGTTAGATTTTATATGCATTTGGGTTTGTTATTTCTATATATAGGAAATCTTTATTGATATGCTTTTTTTCTTATTTTTTTTATTATTTTTTTAATGAGGCGGAAAAGGAAAAAAAATCAAGTTTTAATTAACTATTGGATAATTGTAAAAATTCTAAAAGGTTTTTTTTAATTATTTCTTTTTATTTTTTAGAAAAGCCGATTTTATAAACGAATTTTTGAAAAGAAAAATTATTTTAAAGAAACCATTTTATAAAATTTTTAAATGGAACTATTGTTTACTCATTCCAGTCACTTTTTTATAAAATTTAAGTCAGTTTTATAATAAAATATGAGTATCTTTTAGCATGACTCTCATATAGGTTTTATGACATTAAATCTTCGTTGAATTAATAGTATATATGTACGAAAAAATATAGTTTTCCCTTTTTTATTATTTAGTTGTATAATAAATCGTTGTTTTGGAAAGGATTCACGTTAATTTTAGGGAAATTATATTGCAATTTTTAAATTTCTATGTTTTCGAAATAATTCTTTGTTTTGTTAAGTATTTTTTTTTTTTTTTTTTTGGTTATATTAAAATATGTTTTGTTTAAATTTATTTTTTTACTTCTATATGTTTAATTTTCTTTTTAATAAAATTATCTGAAGATTTTTTTAAATTATAGGGTTTTTAATGATTTTAAACAGTTAATTGGTTTTGTTAAATTTTTGATGTTTATTGCATTTACTATATTATATGTTTAGGTGTGTTAAAAGAGGTTTATTATTAATTATCATCGATTTTTAAATCTTAATTTTCTATAACATTACTTATAGTTGAGATGCCTACTTAATTATAAATAAAGAAACTATTAAAAAATAAAATTGAATTATATAAATATATATATATATATATATATATATATATATATATATATAGTATTTATAATATATTAACTTGCTTTTATCATCTAAATTTTGAATATTATTATTTTAATGTTAAGTAGAATATTTATTAAATAGACTTTTCTAACTATTATAATGTGATGCTTTTTCTTTTTTTAGAGAGA